TCTGATCTTGTCTAATGGCTGTATGAGCTGAATGCACAGGTAAGTAAATCCTTCAGGGTGAACGCGGTGAGACAGGGGTAGAAATGGGGTGGAAAGAGTTGTTTTCCACAAGAGGGCTCCTCCATTACCCCATAGCCCACAGAGGGATTGTGTCCAAGTACTCCCTTCCTGCATCCCACCTGGAAAGAGCTCACAGTGAGCCAGTTAATGAAATTGGGGGTTTCCCTTCTTTTCATGCAAGCCATGGAAGATAGGCAGAGATCCAAGACGCAGGCAGCAATATGAATTGACTGGCCTCAAACTCTCTAAGAAACACCTGGGACTTGGCTCTAGTTTGGTCTGTATGACCATAGAACATACAGAAGATTTATTCAAACTAAGCAGATCAGGATAATCGATGGGAGGGTTGATGGGAGGCAGAGCGCTCTGGGTGCTGCTGCCCACAGATCTGCTGTGCATCTTCACCATTGCTTATATCCCATGCCTTCCACTGACAGGAGGGAAAATCAGGTAATGCAGATTTCCTGTTTCTTCTCTTCAGGGATCAGTCTATTAAGAAATTCATTAAAATCCACTGTGCCCGAGATAGAAAAACATCACCTGACAAGAAAATGCTCTTACGGAAAACAAGTTTTTGATAGCTTTACATGCTTCTTGAATGCAGGGAAAGCCAGTCAATAACATTCCTTGTGGCCTAAAAGCAGAAACATCTGTCGGAGGCGGCTTGCCGGGCTGAATATAGCAGCAGGAAAGCCCAACTGATTAACTCCATCCCCTTCCTAACATGTTTTTGTGGTTCCCAGAAATCCCTAGAAAGGGCTCCTGAGGACACTGGCACCATTACAAGCTAGCTATAATTCAGTAAACAGAGAGATGAAGAAAGCATTATCCTGACTGCAGTTCACCTCCAGCATGCAGGTTGCATAATTCACATGTACTTCATCTACCCTCCCCTAGCTGTGGGACAAGCTTGTGATTTAGGAAAAAAGGAAAAGCCCAAACCTGGATGAAGGAAGGAATAAAGCTGTTGTTGTGAGGAGGAAAAGAGGGTGGGGTTGATACAACCTTGCCAGTAAACTGGAGCAGGGGGAAATGGCAGAGAAGATTTGAGCAGTAATACCAAAGATGCAGGAAGCACTTCCAGTTTGGCTGGGCTGATCCTTCTCAATGTGAACAACCACCAGGATCCTTCTCCCAAAACCTGCTCTTTTCATCCACATTCTTGGATTCACCTGTATAAAAAATGCTAAAAGTACTTCTTTGCTACATTTCACTGCCACCCTACCTTACATGTGACAGCTTACCATGCATAACTGAGGGACTTCTCCACAAACTGCAGGAAGTTCCCTGACAACTACTGCCAACTTCATTGACCTTATCAACACAATTTCACAAAAATTGCAGAATATTCTGAGTTGGAGGGGAACCAAAAGGGTCACTGCGTCCAACTCTTAAGCTAAGAAAGCGTCATGTGGGGATCAAACCCACAATCTCAGTGTTATTAGCACCACACTCTAACCAACTGAGCTAATCTCAGGGTCATTTCTCTACTTTCTCTGGAAAGCAGAAAGCCTTTTTGGTTTTTTTTTACATAAGTCTAGCCTTGTTGCAGGATTGTTGAACCACCATTGCAGTCAGGCTCCCAAAACTTGTAGGGACTGGCTCAAAATACATAAATAGTAGTTACTGTAATTCTTATGTCACAGTCTCTCTGCATTCGCACCTCCACTGGACCAGGCCAAGAGACCTTAGACACGGTGCCTCAAGCAGAGGCAACCTGCAACAAGTCTATAGGAAAAAGTAATCTTTCAGTTTCCAAATATTCTCATGCAGAGGAATAATTTCTGCAATCACACAGCTACTATGGAGGCACATTTAAACATATTTATCTGTGTTCTAGTACACACAGTTTAGTACACTCTCAAATAATTTTTGTGTAATGTTCATAAACACAAGATCTTTGGACTTCAGTTGTGTTGCACAGAGAGAAAATACTTACTTCTGTTTGGAGATGAAGTAAACACCACTACTTACAGCAGAACACTGGGATGGGAAAATGAAACAGCCTGTGGCAGAAAACGCTACATGGCCCATTCACTCAGTAGTTCTTCAGAGGAATATGAGTATTCACGGCACCATGTGAAGCCTCTCCTTGATTGTTACTTAATTCCGAGTAGATCCTGCTAGCTTAAAGAAATCATTTTAATCAGAGTCTGAGGGATTTATTACCCTGTGGGGATTTCGTGTGTGTGTGAGGGAGTTCTGTGTTGTTGTTTTTTTCTTGAGGGAATGAACTACCCCATTTTCCCAGGTTTTTGCTCCCTTTCAGTTTACACATTATTAACATTTATCAATTGAAGTGTAGACCTTGTGTTAGAAAAGTACATCTTCAGACTTAATTTCTCTCCATTGCAAATATCTACCTGTTTGAAGGTTTACCTTCCACCTCCCACATCAGAGAACGATAACATCAACTCTGAAAGTTAGTCCACTCTCTTTCCAGCTCTACTAGAGGACTCTTCAAAATCCTTTCTCTGTAGTCAACTCAGGAGACATCTAAAGCACAGCAGGAACGAATTCCTTTGGCCCTGAGTCCTCCTCTATTTATATATTTCCAAAATTGGGATAAAATTCCCAGAGAACTCTGCTGAAGTCTCTAAATGGCATGGCATAGAGCAAAACCCAGTGTGATGAATATTTGTTGTTTGTGTAGCCGGTAGTAACGTTTTCCAAAGTTTTCTCCCCTGTATGCTATTTCCTCAACTGTTTTATAGAGGCCCGAGGCAAAATCATATTGTCACAGGCAAAGTCTCAAAAAGGAATATTTATATTTTTTTAAAAAAATTCAAGTTTGTTTTTATTGCAGTTCCAAGACAAAAACAAAACAAAACAAAATAAAACACAAACAAACAAACACACACCCCGAAAAAAAAAAAAAGCCCAACTAAAAAACGGGGCAGTTTTTTCTTCTAAGTGTTTTGGTTAACATTTGTTAAAAGCTGATATCTTTTTCAGACTGACTTCCCTGCCAAAAAGAAGGCGATTTCTTGCCCTCTTTGTGAGGATTCAGCCCTCCCCTTAATCCTGCTACAGATGACTGAGATAAGAGACATCCCTCAGGGCCATGGGGATCTGCTTCTGGCAGGCATGAACTCCTCCCTCTGTCCAGCAGTTTCCCTCCCCAGAGTGTGCTCTTCACAGCGATTAGGTACCCCATCCTTTGACACTTATGCCACCTCACTTCATGTGTCCTTTCTCTGGTCTAGCCCCCCTCCCACTTGAATCCTGATCCTTATTCCCCCAGTCTTTCATCCCCCATTTTCCTATCCTGCTCCAAGCACCACCATCTGCTCAAGTTTTACAGCTGAGGGGACACAAACAGGGAAGAAGGATTGGGAGTTTTTCTCCACAGGATGGTTCCCTTGTCACAGTTATGTTCTTACCCTGTCCCTCAAACACACTCTGTGGGAGAATTGCAGCAGATGGAGCATGTCATCTAAAATAAAGCTTGGGTTACAACTCAAATAGTGTAAAACAAAGCAGACAATGCAATCATAGAATCATTTAGGTTGGAAAGACCTCTAAGATCAATGAGTCCAACCATCAACCCAGCACTGCCAAGCCCACCAAGCACTCAAGTGCCATATCTACATGTCTTTTAAATACCTCCAGGGATAGTGACTCTACCACTTCCCTGGGCAGCCAGTTCCCATGCCTGACCACCCTTTTCTGAAGAATTTTTTCGTAATATCCAATCTAAACCTCCCATGGCACAACTTGAGGCCATTTCCTCTGGTCCTGTCACTTGTTACCTGGGAGAAGAGATCGACCCCACCTCACTACAACCTCCTTTCAGGTAGTTGTAGAGCGTGATAAGGTCCTCCCTAAACCTCCTTTTCTTCAGGCTATATAACCCCAGCTCCCTCAGCTGCAAGTCAGGTACCAGGGCAGTGCTGCACAAGGTATCACAGCCCCTCAGCTCAGACCCATGTCTTCTTCCTCTAGCTGTGACCTCAGGTGGCTTGGGGACACAGCAGGACCACAGGTGACAGGCCATCTGCCATTGGATCCCCAACAGCAGGGACTCCTCAACCCAGACTGCAAACGCCAGAGTTTTGGGGCAGGTGATAAGCATCATGCAGCAGAGGCTGATGTCAGTCCATGAGATTCCCCATGTCTGGACCAGAGGCTGACCAGCATCATGCAGACCCATCTTCAGGCAAGGCAGGGAGCCAAACCAAACCTGCTCGGTGAGCCCTTGTCCCAGCACATCACCCGGCACCTTCAAGAGTGATAAAGTGCTTCTCAGGGAGGCAGCAGAGCTCCTACGTCCCTGAAACAGTGGGAGACTTGTTGGATGTGGAGCAACACAGATCCACGCATAACTGTGTCCAGAGGAGGACAATGAGGCTGGCGAAGGGGCTGGAGCACAAGTCCTGTGAGGAGTGGCTGAGGGAGTTAGGGTTATTTAGCCCGGAGGAGGCTCAGAGATGATCTTATCACTCTCCACAACTCCCTGAGAGGAGGTTGTATCCAGGTGGGCATCGGTCCCTTCCTCCCGTGTAACTAGTGATAGGACAAGAGGACACCATCTCAAGCTGTGCCAGGGGACGTTTAGGCTGGACATCAGGAAGAAATTCTCCACAGAAAGGGTGATTAGATATTGGAATGGGCTGCCCAGTTAGGTGGTGCAGCCACCGTCCCTGGAGGCGTTTAAGGAAAGACTGGGTCCCTGGAGGTGTTTAAGGAAGGACTGGACGCGGCACTCAGTGCCACGGTCTAGCTGCCACGGTGGTGTTCGGTCACAGGTTGAACTCAGCGACCTCGGAGGTCTTTCCCAACGCGGCTGGCTCCGTGTTTCTGTGACTCCGCAGCCGTGCGAGGGCTCCGTGTGCCGCTGGGGTTCAGGGTCAGCCCTGCTTCCCCCGCTCCCTGCGGGCACCGCCAGGCCCTCCGCACCGCGCACGCGCCGCTCCCGCCCCCGTCACGTGCGCCCGGGCATGGCCGGGCAGGGGGCGGCGGGCACGGTGCGGGGCGGCGGCGGGAACGGCGGGAGCGCCGGGAAAGGCACCGCTGCCAAGGGGAGCGGGAGCGCCCTCCTCGCCCACCCCTACATCTGCTCCTTCCCCGACTGCGACGCCACCTTCAACAAGGCCTGGCGGCTGTCGGCCCACCTCTGCCGGCACACGGGCGAGGTGAGCCCCGCCGGCTGGGGGCGGGGGGCTGTGTGACCGAAGTGGGGGCACCGCGCTGGGGCCCCGCACACGGGCGGCGTTGGCCCCCGCGGGGGCACCGGGCAGTCCTTCACCGCCTCGGGGTGCTGCCGGTGCACACGGCGGGGGCTGCCGGGCTGGGGCCGGGGCATCCCCGCTGGCGGCGGAATCCCGGGAGCAGCCGAGCCCCCTTGGGACAGCTCCTCTCGACGGCCCCTGTGTTTCAGAGGCCGTATGTCTGCGATTATGAAGGCTGTGGAAAAGGCTTCACGAGAGACTTCCACCGCGCCCGGCATCTCCTCACGCACACCGGGGAAAAGCCCTTCGAGTAAGGCCCGAATTTTTACTCCTCAAGCGGGAGTGCCCTTGTCTCTACGGAAACGGAGTTAAAACTGAGGGTGGCACAGGGCATGCATGCTTTGTTTTTGTATCGTGAGCACTGGCAGAACAGTGTGCAAACAGGACATGGGCATCTCCTTAGCCCAAAAAACCTCCTGTCTGGCAGTGATCCGTTAGAGATGCTTAAAAGGATAGGCAGGTCTTTCCCTAGAATACATTATTAAAGGAGTAAGGGAGGTTGTCTCATATTATCAAGCCCTTAATAGCTGCATGCCATGGATTAGGAGCTAGAAATTCCTATGTGTTTTATTAAAAGTATCTTCTGGTATGTTTCATGTGATTGTTGATCGTAACAGTGTCTGGCTTTTCCTGTCTTTAAAGCAAACTTACATATTTGGGGTTTGAGTTTCAGTTATTCCTCATGCATTCCTCTTGTGCAATGATTTCTTTATATGCCTAGGGAACAAATCAGTGTTTGAGAGTGGTAATAAAAAATGCAGTTCATCTACAGGTGCACAGCTGATGGATGCAATGCGAAATTTGGAACAAAATCAAACTTAAAGAAGCACACTGAGCGCAAGCATCAAAATCAGCAAAAGCAGTATGTGGTGAGTAACTAACTACCTTTGTACTGTATAGTGGAGGGTAAACAAGCTCCTTTTTGTGTATCTGGTGAAATACTTCAACTTGTTATTATGTGGTACATGTATAAGTTCAAAGACTGTGACTGGGATTTCAGCAAACACATGAAACTTAACACGTGAACTTAATTTCCTCAATAGTGCAACTTTGAAGGCTGTAACAAGTCTTTCAGGAAGCATCAACAACTTAAAGTTCATCAGTGTCACCACACCAATGAACCTCCCTTCAAGTAGGTGGATAATTTTAATAATGAACTTTAATAATGAACAATTCCATTTAAACACTCTAGATGAAAACAGGTGCCTTTTCCTAGCCTTTTCGTTAATGTGGCATTAAAAAATGGAATCAATTTGTAGTCATGGCTGCAAGTATATTTCTTATACTAGTCCTTTGCTCAGTAGTCTGTTTAGAGCAACAGTCTAGGTGGTCTGTAACTTTGGCATTCCAGCAATTCCAGCATTCTTATGGTTTATTACAGGTTCACAGGAAAAATAACTCTCCCCTGCTTTTAGTTCACAAAGTCTGAAATCAAGCATAAGAGCTTGCAGAGTAATGAAAAAATGTAGCTACCCAGTAAAAAACAGTGACTTGGCTAACACTGAAGTGAGCAGTACCTTCAAAAAGGTGAGAGACTTGGACACCAGTCTTAGAAGCTGTGCACTGCAGCTCCATAGAGATAACACATCAGTACAGGTCTGATGAAAGCAAAGTTTAGTTTTGTATTTCTTTACAGGTGGAACACATTTAAATGAGTGTTCATTCCACTTAAATGAAGTTCATGAGTATGGCTGGGTGACAGGCACAAAAATAGTCAGTGCTCTGCTGTTGCTCTGGCTGCTAGCATCTGTACAAACCACTTAAACTTTACACTTTGTGTCTCTCTTTTATGTTTGAAGAGCCTACTGTGTAGGGATGATAGAAGGCTTGACTCTCTAGTTCTAAGTCTTAAAGGCATTAACAGTCATCTATTAGAAAAATATTATGGGATTTTCTTTTACAAGGTGGGGATACACAGAGATCTCTAGGCAAGGGGAAACTTGGATTATTTTCTTCACTTTGATTGTTCTTGACTTAAAGGTATAAAAATATGTGGATACAGTGAAAGAAATTAAACCACTGCATTTTATACCTAGATGTGATAAAGAAGGATGTGGAAAGGGCTTTTCTACTCCAAGTCGACTAAAGCGGCACGAGAAGACACATGAAGGTATAATAGCTATTTCTTCTTGCTTCAGTTACATTTCAGCAAAGGAAAAAAGGCTTCTTCCAGTAGAGAGTATGCAACTATATGTGGCACATGTGGAAGTATTCTGGGCCTAGTGATCTAGACAGACAAAACAAGAACACGCATTTTGAATAGTCAAATGGGATACAACTGCTAGGCATTGTTCAGTTTCAGTGTACTTGTGGCAGACTGAACACAGCTCATGATTCCTTCAGTTATTTCTTCTCCTGAGGTGCTTCCTTGTCAATAATCCATCTTTGGAGATGTGCTAATGGTTAAGGCACTAGCTTAGACCTCCAGAGCTTAGGATCAATTGCCAGTTCTGCCACAAATTTCATATAAAGCCTTGGCAAAACCATGTACATTTTTAGTACCTTTGTGAAAGGTTTTTAAATGAAATCATCATGACATGGCCGTGTATGTTTGAGCTACTCTTGCTACACTCCTGTCCATTCTTTCAGTACTGTTGACAGCTAACCAGCTTTCTAGTGATAGAAAAAAATCTAAACCAAACCAACCCAACAGACTAGGAAGAGTATACAGAAAGCTGCGATTTGTACTGTGTTCCTTTCTTAAGACAAAGACTTGTTCATAGTCTTTTGACCTCTCCAGTCCTGAGATTTAAATAGTGTTGACTTTCTGTGGTTCCTTTTTACTTGATAGAATGGTAGTCTCTAGACCTGGAACATTACTGTATAGTCAAGATTTTTTTTAATATGCAGTACAAATACTTATATAGGAATATTATATATTACTATTTTCATCTATTTGAGTGAAAGAAATACCTCTACTGAAGCAAGGAGAGTTTCACAAAATTGTTTAGGTCAGAAAGGACCTCTCAAGGTCATCAGGTCTGGCTCAAGGCAGGATCAGTTACACGGGTTGCTGAGGGCTGCATCCAGTCATTTTGAATGTTTCCATGGCTAAGGCTTCTACAGCCTCTCTGGACAACTGGAGTCAGTGATACAAGGTTTCTTTCTTAAACCTGTTAGGATCTTCTCCTGTCTTAATTTGTGTTTGTTGTCTCTTGTCCCATTCCTGTGCAGTATGAGAGAAGGAATTACTGGCCTTTAATTTTTAAATGCTAGAAGTAGAGTTCCTCCTTGTAAAACTGAACTGTGTTTGCCAGACCCTTTGTGATTGTAAACATCTGTCCTGTCCAACAGGCTATGCGTGCAAGAAAGAAAACTGCTCATATACTGCAAAAACTTGGACAGAGCTTCTGAAACATAATAAAGTCAGTCATACAGGTAAACACCAAATGCTAGTTTGAAGAGGAGTCTGTGCTGAACTTGTTTCATCAGCTTGTCATTGCGTACAAACTTGTCTTAACACTTTATAGGTAAACTGGTTGTCACTCTGGCTAGACCTTTATCTGATGAAAATGCTGCTTTGTATACTGACTTTGCTTTATGATCAAGTTAAGAAGAAATTGTTTAAATGTAGGATTTTGGATCTGGATAATTCATACTACATTATTCTCTTCTGGTCTCTGAGTTCCTTGCATTTCATGTGGATTTTAGCATTGTTCTGGAGGACTACTAGGGTTTGATTCTGACCTTCTGTAAGAAACTGTTTATACTCTGCCTTTTTCTCTCTCCCACTCAGAGCCGATAGTTTGCAGCGAGTGCCACAAAACTTTCAAACGGAAAGATTACCTCAAGCAGCATCAAAAAACACATGCTGTGGAGAGGGAAGTCTGCCGATGCCCAAGAGAAGGATGTGGAAGGACTTACACAACTTTATTTAACCTTCAAAGCCATATCCTCTCTTTTCACGAGGAGAAAAGACCATTCTCTTGTGATTACCCAGGCTGTGGTAGGGTGTTTGCAATGAAAGTATGTACTTTTTAAACTGTTCTTATCTGAATCACGTAATCTGAAATTATAAACCTAACTCTTTTTATCTTCCCCTGCTCTCTGTACCTGTAGCAGAGCCTAGCAAGGCACGCAGTTGTACATGATCCTGAAAAGAGAAAGCTGAACTTGAAAGTAAGTTATACTCTTGAAAAAGCCTTCTCAACCATACCTTCTATTGCAGAGGAAGGTAAATGTTATGTGTTTTAGAATGTGACTTCAAGCAGGAAAACAGGTTAACTATCCAGTTAATTTGTGAGATTCTTAATTTCTGAAGCTCCTTTAGCTACTGCAGTGGTAGCCTATTAATTGATTTCTTCCTTCCCCCCCACCACTTAGTAGTCTTTGTCCCATAGATATGTAAAGTTTACTAATTCTGGATTTATTTCTGCCAGGCCAAGCGTTCTCGTCCTAAGAGGAGCTTAGCCTCGCGTCTGAGCGGCTACATTCCTCCTAAAGCACAGCCAGGAAAGGATGCAGTTGTGACAGAAAGCGAGGCAATAAGTAAGCTTGTGGAAAATGAAATACCAACTGTTGAAATTCTGACTCTGCAGTAAAGGTTAACTGAGACAACATTCTTCATGGAATGACCAATGCAAAGCTTAACAATAACTTTATCAAGTTAATATTTTTATTTTATTTTTTAATAAATTAGTATTGTTTATACCGCTTCATAAAGTCACTGATGCAACTCATTTGACTTCAGATCTTCATTTTCATCTGTCTTTACTGTACTGTTTTTCTGGTTTTTCATCTTCTGGTGTGCTTTCAACTCTTTGTCAGACATGTGTCGCAAAATACAGGCACTCACTCCTTCTCTAGTAACTTTTGGCTTGGAAAGATAAGTGGCTTTCTCAGATACAGTCTCCAAAATTTGATCAAAAAGCATGGACTAAAAGGGAGGAGAAAAATAGGACTAAATCAATGCACAAGTACAGGTAGAAAAATATTTCCAGCTGTTCTGTAATGACGTATCTCCTGCTTTTGGTTTAGCTGTTAGCTGAAACAACCTAGTTGGGAGTCCTGGTTTGAGCAGTTCAGCTTGTCCTTTCCTAACTGTTCTTTACTCATAAGCAAGTTTAGGAAAGTCACAAAGGAGGGATTAAGCCATTTCCTAGCATTCCAGCTGAACTCACCTTGTTTTGCTCTTTATAACCACTCATGAGAGTGGTCTGCATCTGACTCCCACCCCCATCCTCCTATTCCACTAGATTCAGACACATTATTATGGGGCTTTCCTCTTGAGGAGCAGTATTGTACTAAGGTTAGCAGAACCTGGTTGCATTGAACTGAGGGATAACGGTGCATTCATGTAACAGGGTGAACTCCTAAGCTCATAATTAAACTTTTAAATTTAAGGACAGTGTAAATCTGGACTGGGTCATGAAGCGTTCTGCTCCCTCCCATAATCAGTTCCTCCTGTTACCCTTTCCCTGTGGATTTAACTTCTTTATAAGAAGTTTTATTCCTTTTGGATGAAGTGATAACACAATTTCCCCCAACTCGGTTGAGACAACCATCAAGGAAACCTAATTCACTACAGACATTATAAGGGGGAAAAAAAAAAATCTTACATGGAATCTCTAAAAAAGCCATTTGTGCAAATGGCAATGAAGTCTCAGGGCCCTGCAATTATACTAGTGAGTTGCCACCAGCTCCCTAACATCTTTATAGATGTTCACTTTGCTAGTCTTGGAACAGCATTCCAATAGTTTTTCATGATGCAGTGGACAACTAACCTTGGCCACAGCTGCACACTTGCATCTCTAGAAGAATAGTTACATTATTGAAATAATTCAGCTAAAATTCAGCAGAACTTTTTCAAACCTCACTGTTAAAAGTGAGTGAGCTGGCTTAAGGCATAGATAGGAAAATTTGACCAGCCCAGTTAATAAGGTGGTGCTGCACAGACTGCTTAGAATGTGCTGTCAAAGCCAATATTGTAACTGCATTCCTAATAAAGCATGGTCTTTGAAGTGGCTCTGTGGGACTACGTTTCTAGAACTGCAGTTTTTGAATAGAAGCAGCTTAAGGTGGGCAGCCATTATTTGCACAGGACCTAGATCTTTACGTACTTTAGCAGTACATGAGATACAAAAAATTGCAGCATTACTGAATAGGGCAGGTTAACACAACTACAGCTATTTAATGAAATTGATTGGTCCAAGTTTCAGGAGTTCACTTACCATGTCCGTACTGCTACCTTTTGCTTGCCGGATGGTAACTTTAACATGGTATTTCTTGTCAATCCACTGTCCTATCTGTTTCGCCTTGGTCTCTAAGTCGTTTTTGGCAATAGCTGAAGAAAAGGATAGCTCCTTCTGAACCACCCCTGTTTAAAACAGAACTGAAACTGTGTTGGCTTAATATTTGACAAACCTGTATTAGTTGCTCTTTTAACAGCTCATGATGCTTTGTCTGCTTAAGTCACTCCTCCCATCCTGCTTTCTCAGCAGCCTGATCTCACTGTCTCAACATGCACCACTCTCACCTTAGAAGGTGGCTACTTGATATTCTCACACTCGTTGCTTTAACTGTCCAGACTTTGTTTTCCTAGCAGCAAATGAGGAAGAGAGTGTTTCATGACTACTGGTGACAAATTATATCATTATATTGGTGTATCTGGTGCTCAGTTTGTAAAAAGAGCCTGTCACTATGCCTTAGTAAAAGAACAGAAATTCAGTGAGAGTTTAGTTATATTCACTCAAATAAAAATACTTTTCTAAAAAGTCAGCAGATGCCAAAATAGTAAATCCTGAGAAGGCAATAGAAGGCTTCTTTGTGGAAGACTAATCCAAAATTTTATTTTCACCACTGCAAATCCTTAATAGCGTGGACTGCAGTGACATTTCTTTGGATTTACACAAATACAAGTAAGAGGATTTAATCTGCTGGAACCACTTTTAATGCAGCATTTTTCAAAGTGCTCAGTGTTGTAGTGTCTACAAAGTACATACCTGGTTTTGGACTTGCTTTTTTCTTCTCTGCACGTCTAAGCTGTTCTTCATGGATCTGCTGCCCAGTCATTAGTCTGTACACTGGAGGTTCTACATTCTCTTTAAGGAGAACGAGTTTCAGGTTATGTTGATCCATAAGTTTGAGTGCATCTGCTCGGTGCATGTTTCCTAAGCTCTCTCCGTCCTGGTTGATTACGTGCACAATACGATAGGGAATTCTTCTCCCAACACTTCCAAATGCTGTATTCCTTTTTGGTTCTGTCTGAGATTTTTCATCTGTACAAAACGTCTGAGTAAGTGCAAACACAGTTGACTTTCTAGGGTCAGGTACCACTATCCAGAATGGAAAAAAGAACCACTTTTGTGGTGTCTGTGTCAGAAGAGTACCAAAGAACCTTTTTGCGTATCTGTTCTCACTTCTGGTTGCTTGACATAAATGTTTCATCGCACACAAGGCAGTCATTCTGAGGAAGAAATAAAAACAAGTTACCCCTATCAGTCAGATTCTTCTAGTTGTATTAGCAAGACTTAACTCCAGCTCAGTAAACCCTAGTCCTTGAAACTACTCATTTAAAAACATGCATGGTGTTACTATACAGAGGGATTTAACCCAGAGAGAAGTCTGACTAAGGAGCAAAATTTATGAGGAGTTGATGTTATCTTCAATCTTACAATCTGAGCCTGAAGTCCTTTAAAAGCATCCAATACTTCTAGTTCCTTTCTCCTCACTAGAGTATCTACTTTAAGCTTGCTTGTGTATGGAGAGATTAGCCAATGGTTAAGAGGGAGATTTTGCTGTCAAATAAAAAGGTATGTCACACTTTTCATATTTTCAGTCCACATTTTTTCATGAAGTATCTGAACACCAGAACTTTTTTCCTGGTTGATACTTTTCTTTGGGAAGTTTTTCATTTAAGCCACACAGATTCTGAACCGCCCTAATCAAACAGTGAATGAAGTTGCAATTTGTGCAACGTCCAACATCTAGTCTGACTCTTCTGCGATTTGTAAGGTTTTGGAATTTCAAAGCTTTGATCATACAGATTAAGATTGTCATGCAAAACCTTCACCTTGGCATTGAAACTTTACAAAGTAACCACTACTATACTTGAAAACATGGTTTATGCCTGGGTTAAAAACTCTTCCATACTCTTCCATGCACCTTGCTTCTCATGGCACTGACCCCAAATTATGTCTTTTTCCCAATTTTCCAAGTGTCATTTTGTGAAAGTAATCCAGGTAGTTACTTGGTCTTACATGGATTAAGGTTACTGAAATCATATTAGTGCTTAAAAAAAATCAGAAAAAAAGTTTCCTTACCGTCTTTTAAGCTCAAGTTCTACTGATGCAGTCATGTTTTAAAAGTGAAAACAGTGCCTGAATTTCACAGAATATGCTGAGTTGGGAGAGACCCACAAGGATCATTTCAAACCTGTTTTATCAGACATTTAAAGTATTCATGACTTTCCCTTTTTTTCATAAACATTAAATTGAGGGTGACACGTTCCCACTGATAGTGAGATGACTTTTTCCAGTTATTTAAATTATTTATGTATCTTACAAACAAAGAGCATGTACCTATTTCACCAGAACTAGCTAATAAAAACACCAATATTTTTCTTCTTCTTGAATGATGAAAAAAGCTTGTGGGGGAAAAAAGAGAAAAACAGACCTATGACTTGCCTGCAATACATGGGCTGGCAAAAAAGAACAAGATTCATATGTCCAAGATCCACATTTGCAAATTAAAATTTAAATAAATTGTTACAGGCATCTATCCTAGCACAATAATCATGAAGCTATAAACTTTCAAAACAAGCTTCAAAATATACCAGTGCTCGAAGACTATTGAGACTGATCTTTGAAACATTTGTTCCACTGCAATTTTTTCCCCAGTCTTCCCTGGTTCATGGAATACCCCAGGCAATTGTGGTGCAGCTGACCATTACTTCCATTTTGCCCAGAACTGCAGAAATTGGCCATTTTCTAACAGCTGCACAGAACATTACATATAAAGAGCAAATTGCGAGTATTATCTGCAGTTTTGGTATTCGATGTTTAAAAGGGAGCAAGTACAGGAAAAGCTACAGATGATACAGGAAACCAAACACGTCATACCACAGGAGTTGGCAAGAGCATGACCTCTTTTGCCCAGGAAGGAATGTGACTCCACTCTGTAAATATATACATGCATACACGTATATATCTCTACATATATGACATTGTGTAAACATGTATCCATGTGCATACATGTATGTGGAAAAGGTGCAAACCATCAGCAAGAACAAGGAGCTATTTATAATTCCAAGCAGTATTAGCAAAGGAACAAGTAAAATGACCTTCCTGTGAATAAACTTAGTTTGGAGCTTGGGATGGACTTTATATCTTAGCAGAAGGGGCAAAGTCTATATAAGCTGCTTGAAGGTGGTGCCAGATCAGTTCATGAACAGGGTAGTATGATACAGCTGTGTGCTAAAGCAGGACCCCAAACTCAAGCTAGCCACAGGGAACAGAGGAGAAATAACAGGATATCCACAGCAAAGTCTAAAAAAACCTGACAGAGCTACTGTACCTTCCTGCCCTGGGCTCTGCCTCTGCCAATTCCAGACCAGAAACAAGATCCCTGCGAAAACAGCTCTTTTTTTTGGATGGGATGACAGCCTTACAATTAAACACTCCCTGTTAACACACAGCTATCAGTGTGTTGTACATCATCAGTGCAGCTACACAAAAGCAGAGACATCCTTATTTTTAAGGTGGTTTCCTAAGCCAGCTCTGGATCATGCGCTGCAGACTTGGTCTGTACTCTGGGCATCGCTGCTGCATTATAAAATTATATAATTAAATTTATCTTCCACTCAGAGGAGAGTGGCTTGCCTTTATCAGCTATTGACTTCTAAAACTAAGTATCGCGATCACATCAATGGAATAGCAGTTTATTTTAAAGAAATGTTAATCGTGCTCTGCCAAATACACGCTCTTGCGTTTATTGTCCTTCGTTTCCTGCTGTTATTTTAACCCAGTAAATACAGTCGTAGCTGTCTGAAAAGAAATTACCCTTTGTACAGAAGGATTTATCTTCGTGTAACATGGCAGATTCGTGTGTTTTGCTTTGTTACGCAGCCCACGTGTTGGCGAGGCCGGCTGACTCGGCTGGCAGGGAGTTGTGATGAGCGGGGCGGCCACGGGCATCCCGCGAACCGCAGGTGCAGCCGTGGCTCCTGCGGCAGCGCCCACGGGCTTCCCGTGCTGGCAGGACACGCCCGGCTGCAGGTGCCAGAGGCGTGACCGTGCCCTGCCGTGTCCGTGTTCCCGGGTGTCGCGGAGGTCACTGCGAGTGTGCCCCTGGCGCGACCCTGCGGCTCCGCGGGACCCGCGCTTACCTGCCGGCCGGGCTGGGCTGGGCCGGACAGAGCCGGGCCGAGCTGAGCCACCGGCCCCGGCCCGCCGCAGCAGCCAAGGTACCTTCCTGGGCCGCCGGGAAGTTGCGGAATGTCCCGCCTCTTCTCCTTCCTCTTCCTCCTCTTCCTCTTCCTCCTCCCGCGCCTCCGCCTCCTGACCCCGCCCCTCGCGCCCGCGCGTGCCCGCCCGCGGGAGCGCGCGTGTGTCTGTGTGTCCTTTTGTGTCTGTGTGTCCGTTTGTGTCTGTGTGTCCGTTTGTGTCTGTGTGTCCTTTTGTGCCTGTGTGTCCATTTGTGCCTGTGTGTCCGTTTGTGTCTGTGTGTCCTTTTGTGCTTGTGTGTCCGTGTGTGCCTGTGTGTCCGTTTGTGCCTGTGTGTCCATCTGTGTGTGCCTCTGTGTGTACCTGTGACCCAGTCTGTGTGTGTCTGTGTGTCCATGTCTGTGTCTCTGTGCGTGTGCCTGTGACCCGTCCGTGTGTGACTGTGTGCCAGGTCTGTGTGGGCCAGTACACCAGTCTGTGTTTGTCTCTCTGTGCCTGTACAATGCTGTGTGTGTGCCTGTGCCGTGGTTTCTGTGTGCCCGTGTGCCGGTGCCTGTGCTCTGGTCTGTGTGTGTCTGTGCTCCAGTCTGTATGTCTCTCTGTGTCTGTGCACTGGTCTGTCCACACACCCCTTCCTGCTCGTACCTGTGTGCTGTGCACGTTTGGATACACACAGACATGTTTGTGCAATTGCCAGTTTCATACAGACAGCTTCTGTCTCTGGATGGATGTGTGATTGTACGTGGATCTGTGCATTCATCTGGTGTTCCCACATTTCCGTACCGATGCACGTGCGGTGTGCCTGGTTCTGTGTGTGCAGTTGTTGGGAAGTGGTGTTTTCCTGGGTGTACCCACTGGGTGCATTGTTCTGTTGATTCTCAGTGTCTTTGCTGTGCTGTGGGAGCTGCTGTGGATGTAAGGACCAGGGCCGGGAGATGGTCCTCACTGTGCTCAGGGGCCATCCCAGGAGGATAGTTTATGGCTGTGAGCGGGGATTATGTGGGTGCTGCGTGCTTTGTGTGTGTGTTGTGTGTTGAGGTGCGCACTTGAGTCATAGAATCATAGAATGGTTTGGATTGGAAGGATCTTTAAAGGTCCAAACCCCCCCGCCCCTAATAAGCAGGAAGAGCAGGGACATCTTCAACTAGATCAGGTTGCTCAGAGCCCTATCCATCTTGACTTTGAATGTTTACTTGGATGCGACCTCTACTATCTGGGCAACCTCTGCCATTGTTTCACCACCCTCCTTGTAAAAAATTTCTTACATCTAGTCTAGATCTACCCTCTTTTTCGTTTAAAACTGTAACCGCTTGTCGTATCAGTACAGGCCCTGCTAAAAAGTCTGTTCTCGTCTTTCTTATAGGCCCCCTTTAGGTAGTGGCAGGTCTGCTATAAGGTCTCCCCGGAGCCTGCTCCAGGCTGAACAATGCCAGTTCTCTCAGCCTGTTTCCATAGGAGAGGTGCTCCAGCGCTCTGAGCATCTCTATGGCCCTGCTCTGGACTCGCTACAGCAGGTCCATGTTCTTCTTGTGCTGAGGCTCCCGGAGCTCGACGCAGCTCTCTACGGGGCTGTGTCCCCATAGTACGTCTGTCCCCACCCCTGGGGCTGCGGGAGCGGACTGCAGGGCCGTGCGTGTGTGTGCGGGGCGCGGGCAGTGCACGGCCGAGCTGTGTCTGCAGGGGTCAGCAGCGTGTGCGGTTGTGGAGTTGCGTGAGTCAGACCGAAAGCGTGCTGGATGTTTGGATTTGTTACCATCTTTGGTAGGCAGCTCTGCCTAGGGTTTGTGAGCGCCTCCATCCAGTTTGGAGGCAGAAACCTTTGAAAAAGAAGCTGAAATTCGCGTGCAAATGTTGGGTCCCCAGCTGTAAGTAACATATCAAGACAGTCAGATGCTGAACAGCGTGGGAGTTTGGTGTTCTCGTGTTGCTCTGGAGGGGCAGTGTGTGCTGAGGTCTTTTCAGAAGCCCAGGTGTCCGTGTCTATCGAGGGATGCTGTTTCGCCAGCTGGGTGTGAGCTGGAACAACACTCAGACTGAAAGTGTGCTTGTGTTTGTAATTAAGTACAAAATGAAGCTACGGGAAGCAGCTGGGAGGGAGGCCTTATCTCCTGTTCTTCCTGAAAAAAAAAAAAAAAAATCAGAATTTTTTAGTTTATATGGTTTAGGCCAGTTAAATGATCCCTCTTTCCTCTCCCCATTTTCTGCCCAGAAAGAAGAAATGCAGTGAAAATCTGAGCTTTATCTTTTTGGGTTAAAAGCTTTCTGTTCTTAACTGTGGTCCTAGAATGGTTTCATTTCATGGGTTTGTTGTTCTTGTACTGTCATTGTGGTACACACGTGTGAAAAAAGGTCTGTCATTTCTTTGTGCTCTCCATCTTCACAGAAGACATCGTATGGTAATTGTGTGCAAAACCAGAAAACTTTACTAAATCAGTTCACAATCTGAAGTTCATTCATATCACCTTATCCTCATTAAAACTCCTCACCTGCAGTAATGAGTTTGGAAAAATGCCAGTAACAGAATTAGCCAAGTAGATGGTGAGCTGTGTTAGGTGCCTGAATGGCAACTGTAGCCTCTCCTATTATATGCAAATAAAGCCTGTGTTTTTTCCGTCCTGCTCTTTTGTGCATTTCTTTTATTTCACTCAGGCTTTATGCCTTTAGAGTTGTAAGCTCTTTGGGAAAAGGGATTACCATCACTTACATCAGCAGAATGCCTAAGAAAACCAGATCTCAGTTTGATCTCTTGAAATATAAATTACTGAAATTCTACAGTATCCAGTTGTGGAGAGTGAAATATTCCACAATAAGAAAAGACAAGACAAAAAAGGTTTTTACTGCTCTTTTCATGGTTTGGAAATCAAGTGTGGAATTTGACTAAGCATGAAGGGAAAATTTGGCAAAGCTGAAGCCTGGAGAGATATTTTTTTCATCATCTGTTCTGCAATATGCATTAGAGGAGGGCTTGTCAGCAGCCCTGCTTGCAGTTAGCTACTATTGCCACTCTGAGAACCATCCCCGTAAGACAGATAATTTTCAGCAATGTTAGTAGCAGCAATAAAGCTAATAATCCTCTTCACTGTGATAAAAACTACCTGCATGAAAGCAAGGTACTTCAGAGCATACAACTTGCATTCCTTCTCTCTTCCGTTTATTTAATTTTGTTAAGTTTAAACCTGATGCTTGTTTTACTTTATGCCTTTCTAATTAAATTTAGTGTGCCAAGAAATAGTGCAGCCTTCTCATGCTGTTTGTCCTCAATTAACTTGATCTTTCTGGGGGTTTGTTGTACTCTTTCTCCTTGTTCTTTGTCTCATGTCTGTTTACACTCTAATAGTCCTGGGGCCATGTTTTTATATATACCTGCCACAGTGGGACTGCAGTCTTAATTATTTGAAAGACACTATCATAATAAATGCAGTTAATAATAACTTTCTCCCTTCTATTTTGCTTGATGCACATCATCCTCTGCCTAACCCTGACAATACTCTCAGTAATTTATTTGCTTTTTAATTCCTAAATCTTCATCTGTCTTTTTTTTTTTTTTTTCCCCAATATTTACTTTCCCAAGCTGGTTAGAAAAGTTGTTGTTTTCACTTTATTATTTTTTTGTGCCATATCAAGGCCTGTTTGTTCTGCTAGACCTTGTGCCAAACCATAGATATTTCATCCCACAGATAATTTTAAATGCAAATATGTGAGAAGGGGAAGGAATGGTGGAGGGAGAGATTTCTTGCCCTCACATGAGAACAGTGTGGTGATCTGCCAGTGTGGATGTTATTAATGTTAATAATTATTGCAAGACTCAAGAAACTACTGGGAATCTTTGTCCATATTAACAACCGATCTGTGGGGGATAATTTCAGTGTCCCCTGAGGATGTTAGAAACTGGTTCCAGTCCTTCTGTGTTTTGGGGTCAATCTTAA